TATCACTTTTCTTCTTCCTTTTTCCAGATTTTGCTTTTATCCTTGCTGCCTTCTTCTCTGACTCTTCACATCGGTTCCCATCCCGCTGGTATACTAGTTTAAACCCTTCCCAACCGCTCTCATAAAACACTCCCACTGGGACATCACCCAGTCCTGTCCAAACTGTTGGGTGAAGGTCTATTTTGTTCATTTGTTCAGCGGCGGGAGTCTGGAGAGTGTGCGAGGGGATTTCTGGGAAGGTAAAATCATATATTCTGGCAGTGGCTAAACCCGAAACACTGCACATGTAGTGCCTCCCACCCACCCTCCTCCTCTAACCTAAAAACAGACTCTGTGTGGAGGGTCAATAAGCACAATGATTTCCTCTGAGTTGGGAGAAAGCTTGAGGGTACTGCTGGAAAGCGGCGAGTACAATAACACACAGTTAGTGCTTTGGGGCCTTCATTTTTGGCAGCAGAGGAGGAGGAGACCAGGAGCGAGAGCACAAGAGTGGTGTCTCCCACCCTTCCACCTCCTCTAACCTAAGAATAAAAGGATAAGTAAGTTATTCTCTAGTTTTTACAAATCTTTCGGGTAAGTTTATATTTAGAGGGGATGGCAGTCAGGGCGGTGCAATGTTCCTCCTGCAGGATGTAAGAGGTAAGACTCTGCTGACTTCACCTGAGGGAAGTGCACCCAGCTCCAGCTCCTCAAAGACCGCGTTAGATAGCTGGAGCTGGATAAACACAGGATCATTCGGGAGGCTGAGGTGGTGATAGAACCGAGCTACAGGGACATAGTTACCCCTAAGAACGAAGGCACTTGGGTGACAGTAAGGAAAGGGAAGGGAAGGAATCGGTCAGTGCAGGGATCCCCTGTGGTCGTTCCCCTCAACAATAAGTATACTGTTTTGGATACTGTTGTGGGGGACAACCTACCAGGGGTAACTCACAGGGACGGGGTCTCTGGTACAGGGTCTGGCTCTGTGGCTCAGAAGGGAAGGGGGGAGAATAGGAGAGAAATTGTAGTGAGGGATTCAATAGTTAGAGGCACAGACAGGCGGTTCTGTACACGCGAACGAGACGAACGGATGGTATGTTGCCTCTCGGGTGCCAGGGTCCATGACATCTCAGATCGTGTCTTCAAGATCCTTAAGGGGGAGGGTGTGCAACCAGCAGTCATGGTACACGTTGGTACCAATGAAACAGGTAGAAAAAGGAGACAGAATGTGAAAAACGAGTACAGGGAGTTAGGTTGGAAGCTGAAATCCAGGACAAACAGGGTAATTATCTCTGGATTACTACCAGTGCCACATGATAACGAGGGAAGAAATAGGGAGAGAGTGCAGCTAAACACGTGGCTACAGGGCTGGTGTAGGAAGGAGGGCTTCCATTATGTGGATAATTGGAGCACATTCTGGAGAAGGTGGGATCTATACAGTAAGGACGGGTTGCACCTGAACCGGAAGGGCAGAAATATCCTGGGAGGGAGGTTTGCTCGAGCTATATGGGATGGTTTAAACTAGATTGGCAGGGGGTGGGGAACCAGATTGATAATTCAGAGGATGAGGTATTCAGCCTTCCAACAGACACAACAGGGAGTGAGGTTGTATATAAAGAAATGCGGTCGATGGAGCGTAATTGTGGACACAGAGATGGTTTGAGGTGTGTATACTTCAATGCTAGAAGTATCAGAAAAAAGGCAGATGAACTTAGGGTCAGTACTTGGAACTACGATGTTGTGGCCATTACAGAAACTTGGGTATCTCAGGGAGAGGAATGGATGTTGGAAGTTCCGGGATTTAGATGCTTTAAAAGAAATAGGGAGGGTGGGAAAAGAGGTGGGGGAGTGGCATTGCTAGTCAGGGCTAGTATAGCAGCTACTGAAAGGCAGTTTGAGAAGGATATGTCGACAGAGTCAGTTTGGGTTGAGGTCAGGAACAAAAAAGGAGCAGTCACTTTGTTGGGGGTTTTTTACAGATCCCTTAATAGTTGTAGAGAAGAAGAGGAGCAGATTGGGAGGCAGATACTGGAAAGGTGCAGAAGTCACAGGGTTGTAGTCATGGGTGACTTCAACTTTCCAAATATTGTTTGGAAACATTTTAGTTGTAATAGTTTAGATGGAGCAGATCTTGTCCAGTGCGTTCAGGAAGGATTCCTGACACAGTATGTAGATAGACCAACACGAGGAGAGGCCACTTTGGATTTGGTGCTTGGGTAGTGGGGTTGGCCTCATTAGGGGCATTTAAGCGGCTAGTAGGTAGGTATATGGGTGATGATATAAGGAGGGGTGGAGGTTAGATAGACCTTAGGTTTAGGGTAAAACTTCAGTACAACATCATGGGCCGAAGGGCCAGTGCTGTGCTGCACTGTTCTATGTTCTATGTTCTATAGATGGGCTGGAGCACAGGGGTATGCGCAAGAGGGATTTGGCCAGCAACATGATTGATCTGTGGAAGAGTCAGCAGTTATTGATAAAAAGGCTTTCTACCCATTGATACCTATGGGGAGTTAATGGCCTAGCAGTTTTTTTGCCAGACTATTAATGTAGAGACTCAGGTCATGTTTCAGTGACCTGAGTTCAAATTTGGCCATTGTAGATGGCGGAATTTGCAATTCAGTGAAAACCTGGAATGAAAATCTGCTGATGACTGTTGTGTTTTTGTTGTAAAGTTCCATGTGACACTGTTTAGGGAAGCAAATCTGCCATCTTTACATGGCCTGGCTTTCACGTCACTCCAGAACCATAACAATGTGATTGACAGTTAACTGCCCTGCGGGCAATTACGGGTGGGCCCAGTCAGCAACGCCCACTTCCTGTGAATGAATAAATATCAAGTTTGCAAAAAATAAGTTTATTTTCCCTCACATGTTGCTGTAAGCTGTGGCTTTTAACAAACAAATTGGAGACTTTATAAGTTGTGAACCAGTTGCTCTGTGCCTCCTGCAGCAAATGAAAATCCCTGGAGAGGGAACATTGAGGAGAAACAAATTCTGAGAAACCAAAAGGATCACATCGGTGACCTCTGGGGACAGGGACCAATGAACAGTTTTACCCTCCACTTTTTTTTTGTTGTATCTGTCTGTATGTGTGTGTGCAGGGAGAATTTTTAACGTGGTTAGAGTTCTAACTAATACAGTTAAATGTCAATAGTTCATAATTGTGCCTTTTGAACTAGAACTGATTACTCTCTGTAATAAATAGTGCTTTATGTTAAGTGAAGAAACCTGGTCTGTGCTTATTGTCAATCTGCATCTCACAGACAGGATAGACAGGTAAAGTGGGGAATTGTGAATACTTGACAAAACAGTCAGTTTTTGTGAGAAGTGCAGGAAGAGCAGGGTTTGATTTCCAGCAAGCTTAAATGTGACAGAAGTTGTTTTAAATTGAAGGAATTTCCTGAGGAAGTTCTAGATGTGGGCATAATTACAATGTTTAAATGGCATTTGGACAAGCACATGAATTGGAAAGGTTTGGAGTGTCATGGGCTAGGACCAGCCAGGTGGGACTCATTTAATATGGGACTATGCTTGGCATAGACTGGTTGGACCGAAGGGTCTATTTCCGTGCTGTATGACTCTGTGACAAGAGAGTTTGCAAGCCTGTTCAATATTATTTTTTGTGTGTCAATATGTTAAATTATGTATTGCTTTAATGCTGCTTTAAATTCTTCAACTCCCTGACGTAGTTATACTCATACCTTACAGAAATATCCCAAAAACCACCATTACTAACCCTGGATATACCATATTCCACCGGCAGGGCAGACCCAGCAGAAGTGGCAGCACAGTGGGGTATACAGTCAAGAGGGTGTTGCTCTGGGAGTCTTCAGCATTTTACTCTGGACCACATGAAATCTCGTGGCTTTAGGTTAAATGTTGGCAAGGAAACCTCCTGCTGATTACCACGTTCCACCCTCCATCCGCTGATGAATCGGACCTTGTCCATGTTGAACAACAATTAGAGGAAGCACTGAGAATGGAAAGGGTACAAAATGTCCTCTGGGTGGGGGATTTCAATGTCCACCACCAAGAGTGGCTCAGCAGCAGTATTACTGATCGTTATAGTAGTAGTAGTATTACTGGAGGGAAAACCATACTTGACTTCATCCTTACAAATTTGCCAGCTACGGATGCATCTGTCCTTGGCAGTATTGGTAAGAGTGACCACCGCACATGGTGAAGGTGTGAGATTGAGCAAGCTGTTTCCCCCCTAGACTGAGACCTGCCTTGCAGTAAGGTGCAAAAACAGAAATTGCTGGAAAAGCTCTACAGGTCTGGCAGCATCTGTGCAGAGAAATCAGAGTTAACATTTCAGGTCCTGTGACCCTTTCCGGAGTTCTGAGGAAGGGTTACTGGGCCCAAAAGGTTAACTCTGATTTCTCTCCACAGATGCTGCCAGACCTGCTGAGCTTTTCCAGCAATTTCCGTTTCTGTTTCTGATTTACAGCATCCACAGTTCTTTTGGTTTTTATTGAACAGCAAGGTAAGCTGCTTTGTTATGTGACATCACTAATTGATGTTTGGAGCATGCAGCTTTGTGCTAAGTGAACGAGCACTGAGAGAGCAAGTGAGCAGCCAGGAGGTGCAGCCTGCTCCAGTCCTTTATCTGAGTCCCTGTTCCTGTGAACTGTGTTTCCCCATCTCAAACTTTCAGTTGTAGTTGTTGCTGTGCCAGCCAGTACCTCAGAGAGGGACTGGTAAATGCCAGCTGCTGATGCCCATGGTGAAGGGGTGCATGCAGTTGGTGCCTGTGAAACATGCTCTGAGAAGCTGTTTGCTCCTCTGCAACCTGCAAGTCTGAAGGAGACCCTGCTTAACGTTTCTTCGTTTTTTTTGCTTCAGGTTCAAAAGCAGTCAATATTTAGTCCAAGTTGCCTTTTTCTGAGACTCAGGTTTTTTGTTACATTTGTTCCCTAATGTTAATGGCATTTAACATATCGAAGAATTCCTATGCAACTTTTTTGGGGATGCTATGAAATGAGAAAAGTTTGATCCTGAGATGTGACCATCTTCCTACAGTACCAGTGTTACTATCAGGGATCTGTGAGAAAATTCCCTGGATCCCAGGTCTCTGCAAGCACCTGCTCAGGACTCAGGTAAACAGACAGATACTTCTCTGAATTGTACTCGTGTTAGTGAAACCAAAGCTAAAATATTCGATGATTTAACCTGGGACCTGTTCGTTCAGTTGGGGAAAGCTTGTGACTTAAATAAGATGTTTTTTTCAACAGGATAGATAACTGTTGCTGACTATGTAGCTATGTCAGCTGTTTTAAAACAGAAAGTCTGCTCATAAAATATAGAATTAGAAGCAATCTTTACACACTTTACAAGATTTTAATTTTCGTAACACAAGGAGTATTATGGGTCAGGCAGGTTAGCTTAGAGCCTGGATCAGTACATGGGACTATGATGTTGTGCCCTACAGAGACCCTGGTTGAGAGAGGGGCAGGACTGGCTGCTCAACATTCCAGGGTTTCATTGTTATAGGTGAGACAGAGAGGAAGGTAAAAGAGGTAAAGGAGTTGCATTACTAATATGAGACAATGTTACATCTGCGCTCAGAGACGACATACTGGGGGGGCTCATTCACTTAGGCAAAATAGGTACAGCTTAAAAGTAAGATATGGGCAATCACTCTGATAGGATTATGCTATAGGTCCCCCAACAGCCATTGAGGTGTTGAAGAACAAATACGTAGGTAGATTATAGAAAGATACAATGAAAAGAGTTGTCATAGTGGGTGACTTTAATCTCTCTGGTATTGACTGGAACTCCCTTAGACCAAGATGCTCAGATGGGGGAGAATTTGTTAAGTGCACCTAAGAGGGTTTCTGTAAACAGTATGTGGATAGTGCAACTAGAGGAGGGACCATACTGGACCTTGTACTGGCTAATGAGCCTGGCCTGCTGACTGACCTTTCAGTGGAAGAGCATTTTGGAAGCAGTGATCACAACCCCTTAAGTTTTAGGATAGCTATGTATAAGGATAAGACAGGATCTTGCAGGAAGGTACTAAATTGGGGCAGGGCAAATAATGTCAGTAATAGGCAAGAGCTGGGGAGTGTTAATTGGGAGGAGCTGTTATCAGGCAAGTCCACATTTGACATGTGGAAGTTGTTTAAAGACCTGCTGATCAGAGTTCAGGACTGGCATGTTCCAGTAAGGGGGAAGTACAAGGATGGCAAGCTAAGGGACCCTTGGATAACGAGGGAGGTTGAGAATTTAGTCAAAAGTAAAATAGAAGCATATGTAATGTTTAGGAAGCTAAAATTGGACAGGCCCCATGAGGAATATAAAGAAAGCAGGAAAGAACTCAAGCAAGGAGTTAGGAGAGCAAGAAGGGGCTCTAAAATGACCTTGGCAAGTAGGGTTAAAGAAAATCCCAAGGCATTGTACACATACATTAAAAACAAGTGGATAACTAGGGAGAAGTTAGGACCACTCACGGATAAAGGAGGGAATTTGTGCTTGGCGGCAGACAATGTGGGTGAGATTCTAAATGAGTACTTTGCACCAGTATTCACGCAGAAGAAGGATATGGAAGAAAGTAAGATTAGTGTGGAGCAAGCTAATAAAGTAGGGCATTTTGAGATGAAGAAAGAAGTGGTGTTCGATCTCTTGAAGTGCATTAAGATGGATAAGTCTGCAAAGCCAGATGTATTTGAGAGGGGTAAGTGAGGAGATTGCCGGGGCCTTGACGAAGATGTAGCCACTGGAACAGAGGGCTGGCGAGTAGCTAATGTTGTTCCTCTGTTCAAGAAGGGACATAGGGATGATCCAGCAAACTGTAGATCAGTGAGTTTCACTGTGTTTGGATCACTATTGGAGAGAATTCTTTAGGATTTGCGCTCATGTGAAAAAGCATCGCCTAATTAGGAACAGTCATCTTGGCTTTATGAGGAACAGGTCATGTCTTATAAACTTGATTGAATTTTTTGAGGAGGTGATAAAGATGATTGATGAGGGTAGAACAGTGAATGTTGAACGCACAGATTTTAGTAAGGCTTTCCAAAAGGTCCCTCATGGTAGGTTTATCCAGAAGATTAAGATGCATCAGATCCACAATAACTTGGCTGTGTGGATTCTGAATTGGTTTGCCCAAAGAAACCAGAGGATAGTGGTGGAAGGGTGTTTTTCAGGCTGAAGGTCCGTGACTAGTAGTGTTCCGCAGGGATCTATATAATATAAAAATACCATGCAAGGACTGTCAGAACCACTACATAGGCCAAACCGGAAGAAAACTGACAATACAGATTAACGAACACCATTAGCTACCAAGAGACACGACCAATTCTCACTGGTCTCACTACACACGGACAACGAGGGACACGAATTCGACTGCGACAGCACATCCATAATCACTTAAGCCAAACAGAGAGACACCAGGGAATTCCTGGAGGCCTGGTATTCCAACCGGAACTCCATCAACAAACACATTGAATTAGACCCTGTGTACAAACCACGGAGAAACAAAAGCGGAAGTGATACCAAACACCCCAACAAACCGAGATAGAAAAATAACAAGCGGGACAGAACACCAACGCCTCACCGAAGGTACACTGATGATGTTACCTAGCAAGGTGATGAAATGTTTGCAACCAAACCCACCGGCTTGGCGAGCATGTCCACAACCTCAGAGTAGAAGGTTATCAAAGGATACAGATCAGTTGCAGATATGGGCAGAGAAATGGAGTTTAATCTGGTTAAGTGTGAAGTGCTGCACAGTTAATGGCAGGACCCTGAACAGCACTGATGTACAGGGGGATCTTGGAGTTCAAGTCCATAGCTCCCTGAAAGTGGCCATGCAAGTAATAGGGTGGTAAAGAAGGTTTATGGCATGTTTGCCTTTATTGGTTGGGGAATTGAGTACAAGAGTCAGGATGTCATCTTGCAGCTTTAAAAGACTTTGGTTTGGCCGCACTTAGAATATTGCGTTCAATTCTGTTTGCCACATTCCAGGGAGGATGTGGAGGCTTTGGAGAGGGTACAGAAGAGGTTTACCAGGATGCTGCCTGGATCCAAGGGTATGAGCTATAAGGAGAGGGTTAAAAAACTTGAGATAACATAGTGTGGAGCTGGCGGAACACAGTGAACCAGGCAGCATCAGAGGAGCAGGAAAGCTGACATTTTGGGTCAGGACCCTTCTCTGGAGCGGTGGAGGCTGAGGTGAGTCTTGAGAGAAGTCTGTATAATTATGAGAAGCATAGATAGGGTTGACAGTTAGAATCCTTTTCCCAGAGCTGAAATGCCGAATACGAGAGGGCACGCATTTGAGGTGAGAGGGAGAAAGTTGAAAGGAAAAGTGAGGAGAAAGTTTTTTACACAGAGAGTGGTAAGTGTCTTTAACACACTGCCAGGGGGTGGTGGTGGAGGCAAATACAAGAGGGGCATTTGAGGGGTTTTTAGATAAGCACATGAGGATGCAAGGATTGGAAGGGTATGAAGAGTATGGGCCAAATGCAGACAAATGTGACAAGATTACTTCAGGATATCTGGTCAGGATCAGTGTTGAGACCTTTGTTATTTGTACTATATATGAATGATTTGGAGGAGAATGTAACTGGTTTGATTAGTAAGTTTGCCGATGGCATAAACGTTGGTGGAATTGTGGATAGCGATGAGGACCGTCAAAGGATACAGCAGGATATCGATCGGTTGGTGACTTGGGCAGAGAGATGGCAGGTGGAGTTTAATTTGGAAAAATGTGAGGTAATGCATTTCGGAAGGTCTAATCCAGATGGAAAATATATAGTAAATGGCAGAACCGTTAAGAGTACTGATGGGCAGAGGGATCTGGTTGTACAGATACACAGGTCACTGAGCATGGCAAAGTAGGTGGAAAAAGTAGTCAACAAGGCATATGACATGCTTGCCTTCATTGCTCAGGGCATTGTGTTTAAAAATTGGCAGGTAATGTTGCAGCTTTATAGAACCTTAATTAGGCCGCATTTGGAATATTATATTCAATTCTGGTCACCTGAAGGATGTGGTGGCTTTGGAGAGGGTACAGAAAAGATTTACCAGAATGTGGCCTGGTATGGAGGGCATTAGCTATGAGGAGAGGTTGGTGAAACTTGGGTTGTTCTCACTGGAACGACGCAGGTTGAGGTGCGACCTGATAGAGGTCTACAAGATTATGAAGGGCATGGACAGAGTGGACAGTCAGAAGCTTTTTCCCAGGGTGGAAGAGTCAATAACTAGGGGGCATAGGTTTAAGGTGCGAGGGGCAAGGTTTAAAGGTGATGTGTGAGGCAAATTTTTTACACAGAGGGTGGTGGGTGCCTGGAACTTGCTGCTGGGGGAGATAATGGAATCAAATCCGAGAGTGACTTTTCAAGGGCATCTTGACAAATACACGAATAAGATGTGAATAGAGGGATATGGTCCCCGAAAGGGTAGGGGGTTTTAGTTGTGACGGGCAGCATGTCAGTGCAGGCTTGGAGGGCCGAAGATCCTGTTCCTCTGCTGTAATTTTCTTTGTTCTTTCAGTTTTACCGAAGGGTCTGTTTCTGTGCTGTACAACTCTGAGTCTTTGACAGACTCCAAGATAAGTAGCAGTTCCCCTTGGTTGAAGGGCCAGTGACAAGGGAGCACAATGAAAGATGGCTGGCAAGAGGTTTAGACAGAACGATAGGCAAGCATTGGGTGACATTGTGGCTCAGTGGTTAGCACTGCTGTCTCATAGCGCAAGGGACCCAGGTTCGATTCCACCCTTGGGCGACTGCCTGTGTGGAGTTTGCACATTCTCCCTGTGTCTGTGTGGGTTTCCTCCAGGTGCTCCAGTTTGCTCCCACAGTCTAAAGATGTGCAGGCTAGGTGGATTGGTCATAGTAAATTGCCTGTAGTGTTCAGGGATGTGTAGATTAGGTGGGTTATAGGGTGATGGGTCTGGGTGGAATGCTCTGAGGGTCAATGTGGACTTGTTAGGCCAAAGGGCCTGTTTCCACACTGTCAGGATTTTATGAACATTTTTCTCCCAGAGGGTAGTGCGGTGTGGATTGCACTACTTTTTCACCGAGTCACTTGTGAGACATGGGCATCACTGGCTGGACCAACATTATAGCCCGTCCCTAGTTGCCTTTGAGAAGGTGGTGATGAGCTGTCTTCTTGAATCGCTGCAGGCCACCTGCTGTGGATTGATCATCAATGCCCTTCAGGAGGGAATTCCAGGATTTTGTCCATGGAGAAGGACAATGGTAGCAAATACATGGTAACACCATCACCTGCAAGTTCCCCTCGAAGCCACTCACCATCCTGACTTGGAAATATATCGCCGTTCATTCATGGTCACTGTGTCAAAATACTGCAATTCCTTCATAAAGGCATGTGAGTCAACCGACAGAACACAGACCTCAGTGGTTCAAGAAAGCCACCACCTTCCCAAGTGCAAAGAGGGACATAAATAAATGCTGGGCCCAGCCAGCAATACCAATATCCCTCAAGTGAACAAATAAATGGTCACTGTTTAATTGGACTGAGATGTGTTTATTCAGCAGCGTAAGGGTCACTGACTGTGTAACTGTGCTGGGATGTGTTTATTCAGCAGGGTAAGGGTCACTCACTGTGTAACTGTGCTGGGATGTGTTTATTCAGCAGGGTGAGGGTCACTGACTGTGTAACTGTACTGGGATATGTTTATTCAGCAGGGTGAGGGTCACTCACTGTGTAACTGTACAGGGATGTGTTTATTCAGCAGGTGTAGGGTCACTCACTGTGTAACTGTACAGGGTCAGTGTTTATTCAGCAGGATGAGGGTCACTCGCAGTGTAAGTTTACAGGATGGTGTTTATTCAGCAGGGTAAGCGTCACTAATTGTGCAAATGTACAGGGATATGTTTATTCACCAGGGTAAGGGTCACTCACTGTGTAACTGCACTGACATGTGTTTATTCAGCAGGGTGAGGGTCACTCACTGTTTAACTGCACTGGGATGTGTTTATTCAGCATAGTGAGGGTCACTGACTGTGTAAGTGTACTGGGATGTGTT